TGGTAGCATAAGAAAACAAAATTTAACTAAATGGCAAAGAAAAAGAGGTGGGTCGAAGGGCCTATTGCTATGCGGTACGGTTCTATATTCTATTTTGACAAAAAGTCTTCAATGCAACAAGCCTCCTGACTGACAGGACGATGATGCAGATTCAATAGTAGGCTTCTAAAGGAAATCGGGAAAAATATTGAAGGACAAAAATTTGCAAAGAATGGTGCAGTGAGACTAACTGGATTACTCAGTAAAAGAGCTGGTGCTGACTTAATGGCTTGAGTAGCCTCCTTCTGAGGTTGTTAACTCTACGTCTCCACAAGTGAGAAAGCTCACAGGATCAAATATCATTTAGGTATTTAAATGCTATAAAGTGGGTTTCTGATCTAATCAGAAGCTTCATCACTGAATCCCCAATTCTGTCTGAAGTTGTCAGCCTATCAGAGGCTGGCAGCTTGCAATGGTTAGAGAGCATTGCTGGAGGCTGATGTAGAGTTGCACCATTGAGAAGATTAGTGTTTGGTTATTTTTTATTGGGGGTGGGAGGTTACTTGCAAGTTTGTTCAAGGTGGAAAGGAGGGTCAGAAGCAAGGTTGCCTTTTGGGGGCCACTTCCCTGCTTTTTCATTCATGTCCCAAACTGCCCTCAGGTTAGGGAAAATAGGATGACCCACTCAACCCAGAAGGCAGCAACTCTATTTACCATACGCAGAAAACACAGTCTCTTTTCTTGACTGCTGGAAAGGCAGTTAATTTGAGCTGGTAGAGAGTTAAGGCCCTTAAGTGAATGTTAACTGACTACTTATGGACCTTATTGGTGACAGGGAGAGATGGTTACTTATGGATTTCTCACTCACAACCTAATTGCTGTGGTGGCAGGAAGGGGGAAAGAGATTCACTCGAGGACCAACCCACCCAATTATTTTCACTTTTTGCCACCTCCAAGAAGGGAAAAAGAGCATTCATAATCACGAGATATAGCCTTCTGTCCAGATATAGCCATGCTGTCTGAAGACTACATGTCATCAGTAAATCATATAAAGTTTAATATTCAGAATAAACAACATGGATTAGCAGAGGCTATGTTACAATTGACAAACCAATAATTCTACTGCATCCCTTCTCAGCAGTACACAGAATTTCTGGCAAAATAACTGGTTGAAATGGACTGTTACGTGAAGGATAGCTGATTAGGAGGCAGGAAACATAAAACACGAGTAAGTTAATTAGGGGACTGCACAACTCTGATATGGATAATCCTCTCAGTATCGCTGCCAATAATTCACAGTTCAAAAGTTAAAGCATAAAAAGGCTTCAACAAATACGGAAGGTGAAACAGTTGAGAAGCAGACAGCAATGAGATATGTTGAAATGAGAGAAGATTGTAGAAATGCCAGTGAACATATAAAAGGGATTAAAAGGGTTCAATCCAAGTCAGTTGCTCAGTCATTGCACCCAACAGCTAATGGTTGGGTTAATCACAAGATAAGCTTTTTTGAAGAGAGCTGAAATTCTTTACAAGTAAAAACCAAAATTGTAACAACAAAATTATTCAATCTATTGAGAAACGCAATACCATAAAGCTAAATCTTGCAGCATGGTCTTCAGAACATCACGCAGCTATATAGATGTGACTGGATCACAATCTCCTAAGTGCTAGCAGGTAATTGTTCACTGTGCACATATTGAGAATGCTGGCATCTATTGCATTAGAGATAAATGAAATGTCTTGATTATGTGAAAAAGCAATTCTTGCCCAGGAAATACCTGTTTTGTCCAAATCAATATCTTCAACATGCCCTTCAGCCAAATTCTTCTGCCTCTGATATTCCTTCAAAAAGCAATGGATCTCTTCCGCTGTGGTAGCAGATCTACAGGCCTTATTGTGAGCTTTGTCTTCTTTCTGAACACGATGCTTAGGTGGAAACCAGTGAGCTATTTTGTGTCAAAAATGTATAAGTTATTTGTTATGGAATCTCTCATTAATATTTGATTAATTAAAAGGTTTTCACATTCAGCTTTTCCTAAGTTTTGTCCGAGCATTACAATGGTGATGGCTTAAACCTTCAGTTCAACCACCATTTTTGTATTTGACTTGTGGTTTTGCATCATACGCTTTCTGTTGCTTATCTTCCCCATTTACCTGGATTTGGGACTGGCACCAATAAATGCTAGGTTCCCTAAAATAGTAGCTCTGTTAGTTGAAAAGCTTTTACCAGTCAAAATTTGAAAAAAGTCTATTAAATGATGTTTTCAGATGCCACAGTTAAATCAGACCACAAACTATAAATATATGAGAGAAAGTAAGGCAATAGCTATGTAGAGGATTCGCTTCTCTGTTGAATTTCCACCATCATAAAATAATAGTGGCCATTTGTAATGGCAGTAGACTTTTGAGATATATTGGATAACTTCCACAAACTTCGTCTTTTTAAAACATCTGGTTATTTTAATTTAGGGTGAATACTTTTGGTTAGTAGTAATCAAATTATTGGAAATACAAGAAAATAGGCTGTTTGATAGACAGCAAAGAATCACCCAGGCAATTATAACTCTGCCAGTTTCCCATTTGACATGGTCAGACGGTGCATCAAAAGAATGAAGGAGGCAGGCTGCCGTTGGCAGACAGGTCAGAAGTCATGTCACAAATCTTCCATCAAGAGATCCAACAAGAACTGAAAGCTAATTCCACTCCTGATTCTATGGAGCTAGTAACACAGTAGATATGGGGCATTATACCGAGCGGCAGTAGCAGAGGCTTAAAATCCTAGAAGTTTCCCAGAAGTAGGAGAGACAGTGGGGCAGAAGTAATGTCACTAGACTTGTAATCTGGAGACCTAAACTCACGCTAAAGAAGCTGATAGAAATTGAATACAAATTGAAATTGAAAGCTACTCAGTAATGGTGGCCACGACACTATCATCAAGTGTTGTAAAAACTCCTCCTGAAGGGTCACCAGACCCGAAATGTTAACTCTGTTTTCTCCTTCACAGATGCTGCCAGACCTGCTGAGCTTTTCCAGCAACTTTGTTTATGTTGTTGTAAAAACTCCTCCTCCTTACTAATTTCCTTGAAAGAAAGAATTCTGACCCCTTACCTGGTCTGGCTGATGTGCGACTCCAGACCCATTGTAATGTGGTTGACACTTAACTGGCCTCTGAATTGGCCTAGCAAAACACTCAGTTCAAGGGCAATTAGGGATGAGAAACAAATGCTTATTCTGCCAATGATACCCACATTCCATGAAAGAACACAAAAGCTCAAATGTCATTCAAAATGGAAATAAGTCTTACTTATGTAGCATCTTTCAAGGCTTCAGGTTCCCTTTACACCACCAGTTGCAGATCTGCTTTCAGTGCTTAAGCCCAAAGTTCTGAAATTCTCTTCCTGAACCTCCAAACTTACATTCCCTCTCTCTAGGAGTTCTTTAAAATTGATCTTTGACAAAGCTTTTGGACATTTACCCCAACGCCTCATGTTGTTTGGTGTCAAGCTTTGTTTGATAATCAATTGCCCTTTGAAATGCTTTGGGAATTGTACTACTTTAAAAGGTTCAAGTTGTTATTGTTGTACAACTTATTTCTTTACTTGTGCTCCATGCCCTAAACTACAAATCTCAAAATCTTGCTGTTCTTTTTTATTTCATACATCTCAGTTTGTAGAACTGGACAGATTAGTAGACCTATTAGTTATTTCTACCATTAGAATTGTTTAAAATAGTATCAATTATTACATCAGTAATAGCAACAGCAAAAGCTGGAAGCTCACAGATCAGTTAGACTCCAAAAAGAGAAACGGGAGTTTCTGTCATTTACAAGTCCACAGCCTTCATCAGAACTGGAGACTACAAGATAAACCAGTGTTTGATGCATAGGGCTGCAGCTATAAAACTTTGTTTACTGGTGTCTGCGTAGATCTAAAAATTCTATAGACTTTAATGATGGTCATATTCCAACGAGGATTTTAGTTGAGCAAAGTTGAACTCATTATTGCTTGAGGCCAATTCGGTAAGGAGGGATGGCCTTTAAGACACAAATGACATTGCATTTATTTTGTGTTTTTAAACTTTGAAATTTAAGTAAAAGGGTGACCAAATTCATAATCCACTCAACTACCACTTATACATCATTGGATGAGAATGGAGTAATTACTCTCTCTAGCCACAATAATAGATAGTGCCATTTATACTGAATTTTATAGTTTATGTTAGTTTTAAAAGGTAGTATCTTTTGTAAGTCAAATTTGTATCGCAACCTCCGGCGATAAAGATTTTGCTATCAGGCTGGAAATTGGTTTCTTACCTCAAATTGTCCTAATATTTAAATGAAATTGCCATGTTTATTGGAAAAGAAAAAAATCAACTAAATTGTTGGAAACTTTTGTCCTTGCAGCAGAATGTTTAACACCATTCAATCTCAATTATTGGTGATCAGTAATGACAAAAAGTGTGTCACATTCCAATATCAGTAGATATACCTTCATCCACAACAACATACCTAAAGCTGTCATTAGCGAATGGAGGACATTGAAAATCAGCTGAGCCTTTTCATTGTGGTAATGATCAAGGGACAGCAGCACATCCTGAATCACGTCATCAAGCAAAGGCAGCAGACTGGCATCAGAATAGCTAAACATGACACTAATAACACGAGGTGTGTGAGGATTTTGAGTTAATCTTCTCAGGTTGAGGGAAATAGTGTTCACTAGATAGTCAGAATTCAGATTTATCAACTCTTGAAGTGAATCATAGCCACAGGCTTCGCAAAGATCTACTAATGTCCTTGTGGCTGTTTGACTAATAAGCAAAGTTTCAGCTCCAACTTTTTCTATCACTGGGTAAAGAGAAGTCATTAAAAGCTGACGAAATTCCTTATTTAGCACATGAGCAAAATAGCCAATTCCTTCAAGTTGGATGCAGATTTGCCAGATATTACTGTTCATAGTGTGAACAGTTAGACTTTCGCTTGTGTGAAGGCAATCATTGCAGGATCCTTTAGTAAAACCCTGAAATGTTGGTTGGTTTGTATTGAGGCCAGTCTCATGCTCTGATTCGATACTGGTTACCAGATGCCAGTTAGCCCTGCTTGTGTACTCCTCGATAATGGAAGTCACTATTGCCTTGAGATCAGCTGCACTAACTGGGGTTTCTCTTTTATGTAGAACATCCACATCTAACCCTGCAGCCCCCAACAACATTTCATTAATCACTAAAGCAGCCTGTTTCCTGTATACCACTGACTCTTGGTAGAGGTCCATGAAATGATCCACGACCAGATAGAGATTGCCATAGTAACCTAAAACTCTGCAAGTCTGCTGGAGCAGTGCAAATACACTTTCTTCTGTAAAATGCTTGAAGTATTTTTTCTGCATAGAGGGCTTGTCTCCCGTTCTTGAGTGATCCCAGCCAGATAAAAAGCGCATTTGATGCTGCAGATCATCGGCTTCAGCATTCAAACATCTCTCTTCTACAATTCTCACATCAGTGACATCCAGCTCTAGGACTTGCATCAATGCTTTTGAAAGACGGCCAAGGTGAACAGTTGAATTTAATACAACATTCACTTTGGGTCCTAATAACTTTAAGTAGCCAAGTAATAAACCCAAGGATTTCAATTTACTCTGGTCATCCAGAGTTCTCATAAGTCTTGGAAGAGCGGTTGTGAGTGCATGCAAGTTTTCGGAGAGCACGTCTGTAAAATCTTTGTTCTCGCATATCATACACAGCTCAGTGACATTTCTCAAAACTTGACTGCATCTGGTATGTACCTCTGGTCTCTCATCACCCAGGAGGCCCACCAGAACTTCCAGCAAATAGCCAATGGATTGTTTCAGGGATTTGTTACAGTAAGACAGCAAATGGTAGACTAGTTCAATCAATTCCAACCTTACTTTCCAATGTGGGTTGCCAGCTGCACAGCTGCAGAGTTTTCGTAACAATATGTCTAGTTTGTTTGCAGTGTTTTTCACCCATTCTGGTTTCCTGCAGATTACAAGCTCAGCAAGCTTACTGCCCTCCGCAAACAACGTTTTCTTGTCATGATGTTTCTTGGATACTTGGTCACTGGCCATGACCAAGCCCACCAGCTTATACCAAACCTTGATAGCATAGGATGTTACTAAGTGACCCTGTTTAACATCTCCAGAAATTATGCGTGACATTGCTAAAGTGATTCCTGGCAAAAATGATGCAAATGCATCTCCAACTTGCATATGATCACTGTTGTCAAAAGAACAGTGCATATCTGGGCAATCACACTGTAATATCAAGACGAGCAAACACTTCAGGGCAAGGATTTGAAGCTGTCTTGATTTTTCATGTTCGGCTATGTCTAAAAGCAGAGAAATAATAAATCCTTGTGTAGGAAGCATATGTGGCTGGTACAGGCATAGCAAAATGTCACCATATGCTGAATGAAGCAGGGCAATGAAACCTTGGACAACAGCCATTTTAAGCTCCTCTGAGGTAATGGCCAGCTTTCCATGGTTTCCCGGTGAGGACAAGCAAAGAGAAAGTTCAGAGAAGATGTCACAAAGTTGTTGCTGATTCTGCACACACGTTCTAGAAATTATAAAATGAATGCACTCCACTACACTTTGGACAAATCTTTCTTGCTTCAGTCCAGGTGTCCTCAATGAAAATCTAAGTGGAAACAAGACATACTCCTGCAATTCCTGTAATGCAGCATCTCCGACTTTCTGCAGCTGGGACTGAAGGCACTGTACATTGCTGACAGTTTGTTCCTTTGTTATCTTAACACAAATTGGACGCAAGGCACTAAAAGCTTCTTTTGGGGTATGAAAGATGGCCATCATCAACTGACTACTGCATTTATTGCTTTATCATCCTGTAAAACAGAAACAGAATTTTATGTTCAATTTGCTGAACCTTTCACAAACACACATTCATTTAAAAAATAATCAATATTATTAAACAGCAGATAGCGATGCTATTTAGATGAAGTGACAAGATGTACTGAATGGCTAATCATGTTGTTAATGGAATAATGTGTACATAACTGTTACAATAACTGCTGTAGCCTAAAATCAGTAAAATTCTAATGAAGACAGCCACAATATTATGAAGATAGCCACAATATTACAGGATGAGCAAACATCTTAGTTCTGATTAAGTGTGGTGTAGCTGTACAGAAAGTGAATATATTGAACACAGTCCACAGAACTTAAATAATTAATAATTAGTTGGCATGAATCCAGACTCCTCACTCTATTGCATACCATAGGTGTGGATCCAGACTCCTCACTCTATTGC